CATCATCCTTCTCTACTGCAGTTGCTGCTTCTTGTTCTTGATGTTTACTTGCTTTAGGCTGTTTTGCAAACGAGAGCTGTGTTTGCCCCCCCCCCCCAGGGGGCTTAACTTTTTTCTTCAGTGGCATTAATTTTCAAGAATAACTATGTCCACCTTACAAAGGCAAGCAAGAAGAGACAGAAAGCATGTATATGGAATCAAAAATCATACACTTCTGTAAAATACTGCTGATCCTGAAAATTGAGCCTGTAATGACCAGAATGTAATCGCATTTGCTTTACAATCATGCATTGCTTACTTTGATATGTATTTTGAAATTTTTCATAACTAGAGAAGAAAAGTCATCAAGTCGTGACTATGAGAGAGAGAAGGAAAAATTGTTTAATCCAATGGGATGCATCTGGTACTAAATTTGTGCGTCTTTCAGGAAAATTATGAGTCTGAGACGCGGGACGTGCAGGTAGATGGATCACTGGTTAAGCCATAAAAGTTATATTGCATTGCTTAAAAATCTTTCTTGTTTGCCAAGAAAGTTAGAAATTCCCTCTCAATTTAATTGAAAAGGCAAATTTTAGCATATTCCGACCACAACAAATTGCCATTGGCCTATGGTCATAAATAACCTTGATTTAGACGTTAAGTTTTGAGATGTGGGACCCGATTGACAACTCTTCCCTACATAGCCTTTCAGTTTAGACCTTTATAGGCAAACGCATGCAAAAACCCCTGAACATTTTCAACTTTTCAAAAGCTACGAGTGTTTGAATCAGCACATGTACGAGTATTTTCAATTTTTTCGCCAACACTGAAATCGAACCCCAAGAGCAGATCTTGTCATAAATACAGCTTACCTTTGATGCATCTTGGGTTTATGTAAAATTTCAGACATCCCTCACCCACAAATTGGTGAACTTAATGATAACTCAAGCAAGTAAGTCCACATTTTAACTCCAGGGGTTCCATTTCGGTGTAGGCGAAAAAATTGCAAATGCTCATACATGCTGATTGAAATGCTCATAACCTTTGAAAAGTCGAAAACGTACAAAGGTTTTTTCATACTTTTGCCTATAAAGGTCTTAACTATGTGAATCAAATATTTAACCCATTGACACTAACGTGTAACACATGCCCACGAAAAGTCAAAATTTTGGAGAAACCAAGAAAGCAAACAATGTGCAGTAAATTTTTAAAAACATCATCTTTTCTAAAAAACAAGCTCCAGTGAAAGAAGACTAATTAAAGAACTTCTTTCCGACAAAAAAAGTGATAGGTGCATATTAAGTTTTTACTCAATAATCAAGATGAAAGATAAAAATTGCTAAATATTTTCGCATGTGTGCAAATGGGCACGTGGATCATATTT